CCCGCCGCGCCGCCGCCGTGACGCGCCCCGCTGGGCGGGCCCCGCGCGGCTCGGCCCCGGAGAGCGCGGCCGCCGCCGGCAGCCCGCCTCCCGGAGGAGCGCCAGAAGAACACCTGGGGGACACCTCGGGGACGCCTCCCCCGGCAGCCCGCGGGCACCGAAAGGAAGCCCCGCAGATGGCACGGCCCCGAGCTCCCAGGCCGGGCCCGTCACCCTGGAGCTCTCGCTGGGATAGGCGGGCCTGGGCCCTGCCTGGTCTGACCGGGTCAGGCCTTCAGGTCCTGAGCCTCCCTCGGTGGCCCTGTTACAATGGCAGCCTCATTCATTATCTTAATTTTATTAAGCAAATTAAACGTGCGGGCTCCTCTAAATGGCCTCGAGTCACAAATTGTGTGCTCTCCTCATTACTTCAGATCTCCCACTGAGGGGTTTCATTATGACCATACTGATGTGGTCATCTCCATTTAATTGTATTAAAATTAGTGAAACAAGTACCAAGTATACTAAAGGTGGGCACCTCTCTTCGTAGGGACTGCTTACTCTTTGTACTGCCTAAGCACATGCGGTCTGATCAGTAATAACAATTGGTTTCCAAGCTATCAGGGGCCTTATTTATCACTCCACTTGCACGGTGCTGATGAAAAAACAGTTCACAGTCTTTAATTAACATTTCAGCCTTCTTCATACAGTCAGGATTAACGGTATTCCAGTAATTGTATTATGAGAAGATACTTTTCAAGAGTAACTTGAATCTATCATCACAACAGAATTAACATGATTATATGTGGAGTGCCATTAAAAAAAAAAAATTAAATCGAGCACTAATTTTACATAAACCAATGTAACAAAGCTTTTCCATTTCAAAGCCTGAAATGCCATTGACTTAAGAACTGGGCTGCCATTTAAAAATGTACCCGTGTCTTTAACAAAAATTTTGCAAGTCATTAGTCAGCAGTGTCACTAATGCGTTTGAATCATGTGAAGAGAAGAGCTAATCATTGAGCTATTTCACTAGCAGCTTACAGAGTATTAACAATTTATTCAAGCTTGTTTGAACAATTTTTAGCATGAGAAATGTAGTGCATATTTGTGTTGGCTGCATCAATGTGATAGATTACAATAATTGCTTAAAGCAGATGAGGTATTTATAATACATTAGGTCAAATTTCTCTTTTTTAAATGTGTCAAAACACAGATTAATAAAGCTACTGTAATTCATGGCCTCATTCTTCTCTTTTGTAAGTTAGTTTATTAGTTTAAATTGGAAGTGGCTCCAAAGGCAATAATGAAGCTATCTGGTACAAAACAGGTGTGAGTGTGCACAGCATCATCACAGCAATGTTCTGCTGTGATTCCTGATGGAATTTTGTTTCATTTAAAAAATCAACCAAGCAGGTGTTTTGGCCTGAATGCCTCTCATAGGAAACAGCACTAAGAGATTTTTTTGAGTGAACTTCTCTGGTGACAGCTGAGCAGCAGCAATTTCAAAAGCCTTCACTGACCAGCCATTGTAGGGGCTACTGGTAGCCTAGTACCATCTTGTGGACATATGTGTCTCTGAGGAGTTGCAGAGGCAAGAAGGAAACTGGAGGTGCTATGGGAGAAGTAGATTGGGCAAAGGAAGCCATTTGGTATGAAGGAGAAATTAAATATCATTTCATCCATGATGATCCAGTAGTTAAGAGTGTTAATGTACCTTTTAATGTACCTCTGTGGTTTATTGCTTCTATTTGGTCACACACCACTGCACTTTAAACAACAAATCACTGATCAGACACCTACTAACAACAAGGGGGTACATCAAAACAGTGGCATGTTCTTTCTAAAGAGCTCCATCAGCCAGCTCTCTGTTGTCATCCATACCATTCCTTTCATCTATTTTACAAATTATTTTTATAGCTCAATTTTTTTCTTAACATAGAATCCAGGCCTTGTTTCCATATTTACATTTTTCAGTCATAGGTCCCTGAGATCCATATATTTCTCATGCTAACTGCAGCTTATACATCAGAGAAGTCTCTTCAGTGTCAGGATGAATGACTGACCCCCTGCACCCTGGATTTTCTGCAGGCTTGTATTCATACACCAGGTGCTTTACTCCCCGAGGTGTGCAGCTACGCACCCTCCCAGTCACAGAGCGGGAACTGAATCATTCAGAAGCATGTGCAAAGTGATGCACCAAACTTATTTTAGTGGAAGTTTCTCTGGTGTGTCCAGCTTTTGCCCACTGTATGTACACTTCTCCTTGTTTTGCAGAACAGCACTGCACAGGTTCAGACCAGGAGTCCATCCTGAGCAATGTGCTCCAGGCATTTGCACCTGGTGTGCAATGTGTGTGCAATGCCCAGGAGCATTTCAGCGTCCACGTGGCAGACAAGAGGCCACAGAGTTGCTGTGCAAGATGAGGTGACCCAATGCCATCCACCCTGACTTAGAGAAAGGCACCAGATTTTACCTAGTTTAACACTGGGAGCCTGGTTGTGATGGTGCCAAGAGTCCCTGCTTTTTTACTCACACTCACAGTCAGCAATGTCGAGAAGCTGAGCTCTTCCCCTGCCCTGTGACCACTACTGGGGAGCAGCCCCCAGTGAAGAGAGCTCTCAGGAACGGAACAATGACAGGTGCTTGATTCATTTATCAATAAAATCTTTGCTAAATGTAAAAAAAAGTATAATGACAGACTGAGGAAAGAGAAACAACAGGAAAACTGGGAAACTATTCAAGCCATAGAGACCAAGTTGCTGAGATATTTGTGCTACTGCCCCCTCATCTCCCTTTTCCCCAAAACAATTTAATGTCTTTCTACAATATATTTCTTTCTTCTTTCAAAAGGATATTTCAAAACCTGTTCTCCTCTATTTGTATAATAACCTTTGAAAATATGCCCTGTCCACTGGCTGACTTTTTCAGTCTTGTCTTTCAACTAGACAATCCTTCAATCCCGTCACGGCTTTTAGATATGCTAATGTAATATGTTTTGCAGAAAGATATTTAAATTAAACCTTTTAACTAAAGTTAGCTGAACCAATGCACTAGCGACCACATCCCTTAAACTGCCAACTGATGTGTTAGTGCCCACAAGACTATTTACATTTTAAAGTAAAATTTTCTTGCCAAAACCACTGTGAGTTTTCAGCTATACATGGTATTGTATATGACATTTAAAACTAAAATTTATTTCCTGCTGCTTCCACTGAGGCACAAAACAAACCACAAGCCCAGCAGAGCATAAATACAGGTTCACTTCTGATCAAGACTTGTCTTTCAGATTCTTACACAGCTCCTGTTTTTTACCTGCTGTGTTCAAAACAACCAACAGTTTTCACAGCCTTCCTTCCTACTTTTGGATTCACAAACTTACTTCTGTTTGCACATTGCTTAATAATTTGCTTTAAAATGTTTTACTTAGTGTATTTATCTGTTAAGATGCTTTAGTCTTTTGCCTTTGGCAAATTTCTTCAAAATCTGCCCATTTTAAACTGCACATGAAAGTTTCTTCTACTTTTCCTCTTTTCATAGTTTCCCTAGACTGATTTCCAATTTTCCCAATCTAATTTCCTTAAATCCTTCCACTCCTGTCCAGGTGGCTGTAGGAATTTTCCTTAACTCATGCATTTAACCACATTCACTGTAGCATCAATGGTCATTAACATTTTACCCTGCAGCCCTTTGGCCATTCTCATCTGTCTGTTTGCAAGGGCAGTATAATGACAGGTGATATTACTTTTCATTTGCACAAATCCCTTTTTGCTTGTGTGAAAGCAAGTTAGGGCTCTTAATTCTTTAGTTTGAGGGTTTTTTCTTATTATTTTTTCCAATTCATATTTTTATTTGTATCTGACTAAATGGTGTCTCTTTGATCTCCTTTTTCTATGCTTTTATTTTTGGAACTTTCATTGTTTAAAAATGCTTTGTTCAATGTCTTCTATAATCTCCTTTGTTTCTTAAGGCTTAATTTTATTCTCTTTTAACTTCAACTTCTTTACAGAGAACTCCAATCCCCTAAGTCAGCTGTTTGCTGATTTGCTTTTCATATTTCTTACTTAAAGCCATGCTCTATACTTCTTTGCCTGTTGGATGCATCTTCCCTTTTCACATTTTAGGAACTTTTCACAACCATCATGACTTTTCTTTTGCTTGTTTCATGTCTAAAAGGTCAGTTTAAGCACCTTAGCATGCTCCAGGTCTTCTAATGATATCCTTATTTTTAGTTAGCTCATGGCCTAGTAAAGAAAGGAGGACACAATCAGGTTTAAATCAAACTACAAACCCCATCAGTTTGTCATCCAAGAATTGTCTTTCCTGCAAGCGAGAATCTCTCACTTTCACAGCCATAATTATTCTTTGTCCTAAAACCCACTGCTCCTTTATTCAAGCATAGATAGCAGTATGATATAGCACTGCCACATTGGGAACTTTTCACAACCATCATGACTTTTCTTTTGCTTGTTTCATGTCTAAAAGGTCAGTTTAAGCACCTTAGCATGCTCCAGGTCTTCTAATGATATCCTTATTTTTAGTTAGCTCATGGCCTAGTAAAGAAAGGAGGACACAATCAGGTTTAAATCAAACTACAAACCCCATCAGTTTGTCATCCAAGAATTGTCTTTCCTGCAAGCGAGAATCTCTCACTTTCACAGCCATAATTATTCTTTGTCCTAAAACCCACTGCTCCTTTATTCAAGCATAAAGTATGATATAGCACTGCCACATTACTGGCCAAATAGAATCTCAGGGGCACTTCTTGTCCTGCAGCATTTAGTGACCAAAGCTTCCACTGAAATGTAAACCAGGCAATAACAGCATTTACACACAAACAGATGATGGTCCCTGCCTCACACTCATGGATTCTTGTCTTCAGAGCAATTCTGAGTTACAAGCACT